TATATATATATATATATATATATATATATATATATATATATATATATGTTCCATGCAAATCAGTCAATTTAATCCCTTTGACATGGTGTCAGGGGGGGCCTCTGGGACTAATCTGGCCACACTTTGGCTCTGCTTGGATGAGCGAAGAGGAGAGGAGGAGAAGAAGCTCTGAGCTACAAAAGGTCCCACATGACGGCCTCCATCCAGTCCACCTGTCCACTCCTGTCCCGTCACCACTGAACGTTACTGGATACCAGTTTATTAGAGCGTTGTTAAACCTCCAAATTATTCATCTCAAATCTTTTCTGACGCCCTCATTGAGATATGTGCTGTTAGTGAAATGCATTTGGGCAACAACAAAAACAGAAAAACTAAAATACCATCAGAGTACAATCACGGCAGCACACACACACAGGTGCCCAATCAGTGCGTTCCGGTTCCCTATCGGCTGTGAAGTGCTCTTCAAAGAAAGGCACGTACAGGGCAGTCGTTCATGGATTTGCACGAAATGTCGTCTGTGTCTGCATCTCAGAGAGGCTGACAGACAGACAGACAGTCAGACAGACAGGTCTGTATCCCATATCACTGCTCAGGTGAAACCTGTGCAGCATCCGACGTGCTCCCCTGTTTTTTTTTGCACACAAGTCTACGACTTTTCTTTGTTTCAAACTGCCTAAGCTGGATCTGTTGTGTGCTCACTCCTCGGCTGCATGTGAATATCGGGGCTATTGTGGTGCTGTTTCTTTTTTGTTTCGGCTCCCTGTAAGTACCCGCTGACAGACGCACATCAGCCACCTTTTTTGGCCGGGAGCCCAGGCGGGCAGCAGGCGTCTGCATTCCGCTGAAACCAGTCTCAGGAAAACAACACACAAAAAGACCCCCCCAAAAAAAACCTGCACAAAGGGGATTATTTCGGGAGAAACTTCACGGGAAATCCATCCGTTTAAAGACCCATTTGGTAGAATTAAATGCCCGTTAAGATGCACGATAAGTGTAAAACGCCAGACCGCAATTTAGATTCCATTATGGGCTTTATTATAGGCGCTGAAGATGAAAGCAAGTCTCGGAGTTAAAGCCGTACTCCAGCGTATTTACCTCGGCTTATGTATTTCCGAGAGGTCCGGCAGTAAAGGTAACGCTGCAGCCAAAAACCCATGCAGCGAGCTTCACCCTGCCTACCTGTTTACCCCCTGTGTCCCAAAAATGTGCTCACAGGTACGGTAAAGCCCTCTAAGCTCCCTGCCTCCCCGGCCAGCCTGCCACTCCAGCCTGGCTTTGACCGTGATCTTGGCTTGGCTACAGTGACAAGGGACACACCGGGTCACCCAAATCTATCTCCAGCATTCCTTCATATCCCTGCACACACGCTGCTGTTGGCTCAAATGATCATATGAACTGCATCGGCGCGCACAATAATCCCCTCGTGCCAAAAAAAACAGACCCCCCCTCCTCGTCAGCTTCAAATCTAACTTTTCTTTTAGGCTGATTCGCGTTCGCTGACATTATCTCCATCTATGCTGTATGCATTGCATGTACAGATGTGTTGGTAATCGTGCTGAGAAATAGCTGGGAATGTAAGGCTCGTAAAAAGCATGACAGCATGCACAAATACGAAAAAAAGCGCAAACGCTCAGGAAATGTGTTGTACTTACGATTTGAGGGGGTTCTGCACCGCTGTGGCCATTTTGATATAGTATGATAGAATGCAACACTGCAGAGCCCGGTATTGTACATGTAATGTAGCTGCTATTCCAATTTCATTCATTCTCTGGGGCTGCGGCTGGAGCGAGCAGCCAATGGGAGGCGGGAGCGCCCTGTGACAGCTTTGGGGAAGTGTAGTCTTTTACGCATGTCAACATGAAACATGCTGAAGGGAAGCGCACTACAAGTACCAGCGGGGATGGCGGTTTAAGTGGACCACAGTCCCGCCTCGGACTTGTAAGAGCAATGCCATCCCCCGGTTCTGAATTTATTTAAATACAAATAATTGAAAAAAAATAAAAAAAAAAAACGTCTACAGTTATGTCAAGGTTGGGTTGCAGGACTGTCTGTCAGTCTGAATATGCCAGCTTCTCTAATGCATTGTTTCCTTGTCTGGATGATGAGGATGAGGATGAGGATAAGGATGAGGATGATGATGGGCGAGGTTGAGTCTGCACTGGCCAGTCCCAAAATTGCACCACATCATGTAAGTGGCAACTTGATAGGAAGCCTAAATGTCCTACTGAATGAAGAGAAAATAATATTAACCAATTATTTTTTATTATTTTTAGTAATGTTTTCTTTGCATATATGTACTTTGGTGAGTGTTGCCTGACCTGTGAGCTTATTATAGGGAACAACTAGTACAATATTATATATATACAGAAAATCATTAGCTTCATTTCCTTAAAACATACAATCCACATTCAAAGCTGGTCAACTAAATTACTAAAGAAAAGGCCTATCATATTCAATTATATAGGCTATTACCCTTTAATTACAAGTATATACAAACTATTTTAGGGCATATTAAGAGACGCTGTGTCTACATAACCTTACAATAGTGGTGGCATGTTGATAGACCCGTGGTTAATCTTATATTATCTGTGCTAGGTAGCCCTGCACTGAGCAGCTTTAATTATTCATTAATCAGGGGCGATGGGTTGAGAGTAGGCCTATAATTGATTCTTTCAGACATTTGTCTCTCATGGATGAGCCCGCAGAAAGGCTGGGACCCTCTTCAATTTCCTCATCCATCCATCCTTTATTCCTTCCTTCTTTAATTCCTTCTTTAAATTCCTCCCCAACATGCTTTCCATCCCTGCTTGGAAGGAAGGAAGGAAGGAAGGGAAGGAGAAAGGAAGGAAGGAAGGAAAGTCTGTAGGTACTGTTTGAGCAGCAATGCTGGAATTTCTTTCTCCATGTCCTGCTCGCAGCAATGGCGCCGCTCCGAAGCCATTCAGTGACATGTGATATTTATAGATCTGTGCTAACAAATATTTAATGAACATTAGCAAGCCGCTCTAACATGGCACCACTGCTCCAATAAAACACTCTCTGCCAGTTAAATAGAAACTTTGATTCAGTGTTGCTGTAATTATGAGTTAGTTGCTGGTTTAAATAACTCATATTGTTCAGCTTTATGTAGCCTAGTGAAACCAACATATGAACTTCAACTTTACTTGGTTTGCATGAAATGATTTAAACTTTAAAAATCTTCTACAAAATATTGACATCATTTATGGGTCTTTGAAGTCATCATTTCATCTAATTTCATGCTATTTTTATCCTCTGATATCGGAAGTTTTTTTGAATGGCGTGTTGGCTGTCATTCTGCCTTTTGTCCACAGGGTGGTGCTGGTGTACCAGACACGACGCTGACCAAACGTACGCACAGTGCGTCTTACGTCACTCCTGCCGTGCTTCCCTTGGCTCCTCCCACAGCGTCATCGGTATACACGCGCTGTTGTTGTGATTGACGGACGGGGGAGAGGAGTCATGTTTAACTTTCGTTTTTGCCTCTTTCGCCGTCGCAAAATATGTTTTTTAAGTAATTAATTAAACAGCGATGTCCGAAATACTGATGAAAGAAATGGAGAGTATCTCGATCGGTCCAATGAAGGCAGAGGAGTGTCCCGACGGCGGACGGAGCTTCCTGCTGGTGGACGAGCAAGAAAACGTCCAGGTAGAGTTAAGCTAACGATGCTAACAGCTAGCCGCTAAGCTACACAACACACATTCTGATGAAGGCCACCAACTGTCGGTTTGTCACCGATGCTAACAGTGACAGTGCTGATAAATAAGACGTATTAGCTTTTAAAAAAACGAGCTAAAGTGAAGTAATATTTTTTTTAACTTAAATTGACAGATGTTTACTCCACATAATAACAACACTCGTCGTGTTTAGCACGTAGCAAATGGACTCCTCACTGGGGAAGTCTTAGGTGAGTCATGTCGCCCAGCTGACACCTTCTCATGTATTTGTTGTGGCAGAAGGACAAAGTGCAGGCGATAACGAGGGGGTTGTTGTACTTATATCCATATAGTCTGGGATGTGTTGTGTGTGTGTGTGTGTGTGTGTGTGTGTGTGTGTGTGTGTGTGAGAGAGAGAGAGAGAGAGCAGATCATTGTTAATGAATATACAGTCCTCATTTCAAAGATTTCTGTCTGCACTGAATGTAGATAGTCTCTAATATAGTGGCTAGGTCTTTGTTTAGTTGTGTGTTAAAGCTCCTTGTCACCCAAGACAGAGTTGTTCTCAAATTCAATACGCTTGATTCAATGAAGTCAGCAGGGGAGCCAATTATATCATGTAAAGATCCGTTTTTTGAACACGCAAATGACTCTCCACTCCCCATTTTCTTCTCCCTCCAAAGGTCCGCGACGAGTCTGAGTTCGTGGACCGACTCGGCTGTGGGGACGTGGCGGGAGTCAAGGTCCTCTCCATCTTTGGCAACACCGGCGACGGCAAGTCCCACACCCTCAACCACATCCTGTTCGGCGGTGAGAGCGTGTTCTACACCTCCAAGTCCCCCAGCTCCTGTACGGTGGGAGTGTGGGCCGCCTACGACCCCACCCTCAGCCTGCTCTCCCTGGACACCGAGGGCCTGTTGGGGGCCGCAGCCAATCAGAACCAGAGGATGCGGCTGCTGCTGAAGGTAGTTTTAGTGGTCGCTGTATCGGTTTTGTTGGAATCGACTGATGGCTGGATGTATTTAACTCTCCTTATGCTCATACTGTAACTTCTCTGCAAAACCGTGCACACTTGCATCTGTATTCTACTTCTCCATGTCTCCTGTTTTAGATGCTACGTAGCTCTGTATATTTATCCACTCCCTTGTTTACCAGGTGTTGGCGTTGTCTGATATAGTAGTCTATCGTACGCGGGCCGAGCGCCTCCACAACGACATGTTCCAGTTCCTGAGCAACGCCTCGGGGGCCTACCTGAAGCACTTCACCCCGGAGCTCAGGGCCCTCTCCAACCGCTGTGGTATGGACGTGCCCCTCTCTTCTCTTGGGCCAGCTATCATCATCTTCCAGGAAACGACGCACACCCAGTTACTCGGTCATGGTAAGGGAGGGGAATATACTTTTCTTTGCATGAATATACTGTAAACACAGTTCTACGAGCATGATTCTTTACCCTCTTACAGGATTAATGTTTACGGGTTTCTTGTAGATTCTAAGGGGGCCGGCAACGCCGACACGCTGCTCCAGAAGCGTTTCCACGATCTGGGTTTGGGGACAGAGGCCTTCAACTCGGTGCAGTACGTTGGCACTCAGACCATCACGCCTCCCACTGACTACAGCAGGCTGCTGGAGGCCGTCAGGCAGCAAGTGAAGAACACTCACACACGCTCCGCCCGCCAGCCCGGGATAGTGTTTCACGCACTGGAGGTGAATGGTGGATTTAGAGAAATTGAACAGAGTTGAAGACAGTTTTGTCTTGCGGTCTCTTATCTTGTTTTGTGTCCACGTTTCCTCTCTCCCATCTCCCCCTGGCTTCCTTTTTCACGTCCTTAAGGCCCTAAGTGAGCGTTTCTGTGGGGAGCTGTCAGACGATAAGATGACCCCCCACTCCTTCTTCCCAGACGAGTACTTCACCTGCTCTGCTGTCTGCCTCAGCTGCAAGTAAGTTTCTTTTTTGTCTTCAGTTTTTCTCTTGGGTCTGAAATTTTACAGCCACTCTTCTGCACCTTTTGCTAAATTACATTTCTTACATTCTTCAGTGCTCCCAAATCCCTTTTCTGTACTTTCTAAAGATAAAAAAAATATTCTTTGGAATAAAAATAATGATGTGAATCATTTGGGTATTCAAGAATGTCAGAGATGGCTGGATCACACTTTTAGATTTATTTCTGGGCTGCAGATGTCAGAGTTCACCGATGCTTTATGGGAGATGAGAGATCTCTTGCCCCACTGCTCGCCAATTCTGTCACTGAACAGAGCATTAACGTATGGTAATACGTTAATCTGAATATTGGCCGATATTATGATGGTTAAACTGTGTAATTAATCCGCGGTTCACATGCTTGCCGAACCCCCACCGTACAGTCTCCAGTTTAACAGCGTTTCTTCTGATGCTTAGAATCGTACTGTGGAGACGTAGTCGATGTATTTTTATACGTCCTAAATCATGACTGGTGCAGATCTCTAATTTCTAAATGTTTCTCTGAATGTTGTCTCTTTACTTGAGTTGGGGAACATCCTTCCTCTTCAACATCTTCACACAGCAGTTAAAGGCTTTTATTGCCAGATGGAAACACAAACAGAGATCTTTCGTCTGCCTCTGGCTGAATAACAGATTTGGAATTTATTCTCTTAAAGCAGAAGTCTGTTGTTGTTCTTCTAGATGTCTCCCCAGTGGGACACATTAAACGTGATGTGTTTTCCATATTTGTGGAAAGGAGATGGAAGTCCTCTTCTCTTTGTGCGTCTTCTGGATGCAAAGCTGAGAGTGGGATAAATCCTAACGCTGGTTCTGAACGGAGCCGGTCCGCCTCACTGACTGACGTCTGTCATGTTGGTCTGTAAAGGTTTGCTTTCTCTGTGTCGTCTCCAGCATTCGCTGTAAAAATGGAATGAACCATCTGAGAGACAGGGTGCCCCACATGGCAGATGGACTGTGCCAGTATGTACACCAGTACAACAACAAGGTCCTTATCTGTAAGGTAAGACTCCTTGCGCCAGCTGGGTCAGGGGAACTGGGTCCCAGTTCAAAATGTGATGTTTATATGGTTTCATCTCACAATAAATAACACACTACGCATTACAGTTTCTGTATTATTGTCTGTGTCGTCTCCCCAGAGGTGCTATGAAGGAGGAAGAGAAGTGATTGTTTTGCCCAAAACGTCAGCTTCCACTGACAACCCGTGGTATGGACTGGCCAAGTACGCCTGGTCAGGGTACGTAGATATGCACACACACACACACATGCACACCTTTTCATTGCCTTTCATCCGATCATCATGCATGTTGTCGTCCCCCCCCTCTCTCTCAGCTATGTGTTGGAGTGCGCTACCTGTGGTGTAATCTACCGCAGCAGACAGTACTGGATGGGGAACCAGGACCCTGAGAGTGGCGTGGTGCGATCTGAGATCAAGCATGTCTGGGAGGGGGTGAGTCCTCCACGCTTCTTATACAAGATCACTAAATACTGAGATCATTGTTTCAGCATCTGGTGCACGAGATTACTAAGAGTTATCTTGCATCCATGTTCCTCGAGGCCTGTCATCCCTCTCTCCCTTCTTGACTATAAAACCCTGCAACCCTCTCTATTTCAATTGTCTGCATTCTTTCTTTCTTTCTTTCAGTCGGACACCTTTCTGACCAACCACCAGAACGCTGCCCAGAGGGTCCTGGACGGGATGAACTACGTGATCCAGTCGGTGTCGGAGTACAGCACCGGGCCCACCAAGGCTGTCGCCGCCTGGGTCACTGACCAGGTGGCACCGCCATACTGGAGAACCAACACCGAGATCACTGTGAGTATGAAGAGCTGAAGCCGAGACAAAGCTGTTAATTAGAGTACAATTAAAGTTGTAATACGCAAGGCCACATGTGAAAGAAAAGGGCTACCATGCAGAGCCTGAGAGTGTTGAAGGTTTTTCTACCTTTTGAACTCGAGGCCTGTCACGGCTGTCGGAAAGTGTTCGAGGAGGCGGAGAGGAAGCACCACTGCCGGTCGTGTGGCGAGGGTTTCTGCCACCCCTGCTCCGGCCACAGGATGCCGGTGCCGGAGAGAGGCTGGGGCAGTGGGCCGGTCCGGGTGTGTAAGGCCTGCTATCAGCAGGGAGGGCCAGCAGACACCAACAGCCAGGGTAAGACACCTCCAACCAGTCAGTGAATCTCAACCGGCCGCTTTGTGTTTAATTACAGAGAAGTCATTTTAATACAGCAACAAATATTAATAGATCTTTATACATTGTGTGGTTTCATGCCGAACAGGGTTAATAATGATGAATAGGCATTTCATTTTCAAGCATCTTATTCCTTTAATTTGTCATTTCAAAGCTTAACTACACTTAGATTTCCATTTAAATTAATTTACAGAGAGCATAAATCTCTGATTTTGTGTATTTAAATGCGTATTGTGTCCGTGATGGCTGCTTACATGTATTTATGTAATCTGCTTCTGTGTCTTTCTCTCACACACACACACTTTTCTTCTCTTCAGTGAGTAAGGTGGAGCCTCGTGGGCTGATAGCTCGCAGAGTGACCGAGGTGGCCCAGTCTACACTGGACCTGGTCACCACAGCTGTGGACTACCCTCTCTGTGAGTGCAGCGGCATTTCACCTCTACACACAATAACTCTGGGTTAAATGGCTTTTGACCAATCAGATGTTTTGTTGAACATGATTCTAATTAACTTTTTTGCAGTACAAAAATACATTTTTTGGTCTGGAAATGATCCGTCCATCATGAGTTATTCAATAGCAGTTTAGAGATTCACAAATATCTACCGTTCCGTCCACTCTCCTCAGGTTTTATGAAAGATGTGGCTCGGCCGGACTACTGGGTGCCAGACCAGGACATCACCCAGTGCCACCAGTGCTCCAAAACCTTCACTCCGGTGATGTCCAAGCACCACTGCAGGGCCTGTGGACAGGGCGTGTGCGGCCCGTGCTCCACTCACGTCAAGCCTGTTCCCTGCCGAGGCTGGGACCACCCGGTGCGAGTGTGTGACGGCTGCCACGCTTCCTCAGATGATCCACACACACACAAAAACACAAACCCGCTGTGAATCCTGCTGCTGCTGCTGCTGCTCCAAGAGGACGAGGAGAATCGATTATGCAGCACTAAATGGCGTCAGCCTTGTTTTAGCGTGAAGAACGACGGGCTGTTCCGGTCTGGTTTTCTCAGTGCTGACTTAGGATCAGCTTTCCATCTCATCTGCAGCGGCTATGAGGTAAAAATCATCATAGATCACCGTCTGACTGGACACATGTGATTTTAATGAAGACATGCAAACTCCTCTCAGTTCCCGTCATAACAGCAGAGCTTTTACTCTCAACTGAACTCAACTGTAGTCTCCCTTGTTCCGTCATTTGTGTTTTCAATTTGACCAGTTTGTCTGCTGAAAATGAGAATATGACGAGAACAAGTCAAAGGGAGGCACTGGGAATAGTGGGGGAGATCTGAACGTTGGGGATTTTGAAACCGGTCTGTTTGAAAATCAGAGCATCGAGCAGGAAAGTAGGGATTGTGTGAGGTGATCTTTGTTTCTATCCTCCCCACAATCATCCTCTTGATGGACGGAGGGAGGAAACTAAAGCAGTTCAGACTCTTTGTGTGTTTCTGTGTTACTCTGGACAGAAAGATCGACAGTGTGCCTTCATGGGAATCTTCATTCCCATTTCTATAGCTCATAAGAATAGTTTTCGGGGATTCTTCAGTGTAATCTACAGCCTCTTACAGTTGTATCTACAGTACGGGGAAACGGATAGGAAGAGAAAACCTTTAGCACAACACATTATAGACATTCCAATGCATGGAGATACCTGTGTACTGATGTAGAACACTCTGTTGAGCCACTGATGCGTCAGAAAGCTCTCTTAATATAAAGGCTGCACTCGACTGGACTCTTGAGCTCAAATCACTTGTGTGGTGTTTATGGAAACAAAAAGAGTTCCTCTGTTTAACATACTGGATAAATGAATGCAGTTAATCTCTGTCTAGAAATAATCAAGTCATATTTTAAAAGATGCCTTCCAGAGAAATCTGGAAATTGACAATCTTGATTTTTCTTTCTTAAATCGGACGTGTCTAAATAAAGGAAACAAAGGAAGCCTATGTGTAAATGTATCACACGTACTGCCTTCCTCTCTAATCTCTTCGTAATAATCATTTCATAGCATTAGTGTGAAACACAGTAACCACATGACAACAGAAAGACGATGTGGCAATAACAAAGACAACTGCTTGTCACTCAAACAATGATCAATCTGCTAAATGAGTGAAAACTATCTGATGGTGAGGCTGAAATCTGTAGATAGATGTGTGTGTGTTTTCACCCAGCAGGACACAGTTTGTTTTAGCCTGTATTAGAAAAGACATGTTCGTATATATCCCAATCAATAATACCTCTGTTTTGCTTTTCTTTAAAGTTGTTAATGTCAGGGAGTTATTTAGCTAATTCTATGCACAATTTGGTGATACTGTACTACGTTCTTTTTGTTTGATTATGTTTTCCCATCATAAAAACCACCTTTAGCAGCGTTCATTTCTTATGTGGCTGCAGGTGGAAGAGACGTTTGTGAACAGCTCGTTCTCGTGTTTTTATATAAAAAGCTTAAAAACGAGGCTGGATCAGTTCTTTCCCATTTGCATTAGCAGTAAATATGTTCCGTTTGTTGTCATATGAGATGAGATTAAAGAGTTCCATGCAAATTCTACTTGGTGGAGTAATACGTGTGTTTTCTGTACATGTTACTGGCACAGAGGTTCCTTTTCCTTCAGGCTGTGTGTCAAACACACATGAGCTTAAGTTCAAGTCAGGGTAAGTGAAAGCAGGTGGTGTGTTTGTCTGAACATTCAAATTATGTTTACGTCTCTGAGAACTTGATCTTTCATTTGTGAAATTATCAATAAACAAACACAAGATGGAAGTGATTACCTCCATTAAGTCATTCTCCTCTCTGTCTTGGTTCCTTATAGTGAGCGATGCAGCATCTCAGCCTGTTCACACCTGTTTGTTGTTTACTCCTCTTGTTGTTTGTCTTTGTATCTTTCTCTCTCAGAAGACATGAGACTTTCCTCCAGCTGGTTTACCCAGAGAATCTGTCTCTCTCTCTCCCCCTGTCTCTCTCTCTCCCCCTGTCTCTCTCTCCCCCCTACAGTGTCTGATTCTAGGTTATCTAAAGTTCATGGTCCCTGATGTCCAGCGCTCTAATGGACTAATATCCATGAAGCAGTGTTCATTTCCTTCACAAACCAATTATGCGAGGCTAAATTGACTTACGCCTCACAGTCACAGACTCCTACACAGAACGTCAATGTGGAGACAATAGACAGGAGTGTCTGTATATAGACTGTAGAAGCTATTCTGTATGATAGAGCACACATCAAAGTATATCACTTTTTAAAATGATTGACATAACATAAGAGGTATATGAAAATATATTGAAGTAGTTTTATTGGTTATTGAATTGAGGTAATGATCAGCTGGAGATTATAGTGTTCTTTTTATTTACTACTACAGCACTTAGCCACTCGGTGCTCATTCCTGCACACACTTTAAAGTTACTACGCTGTAAAACTGATTTATGTGAACCTGCACTTGTGGAAAGAAAGCCTGAAGTTTAGCTGAAAGGTTGTGTTGGTATAGACAGGCTGAGGTTTAGCCTCTGGTGCTGCTACAGATACATTGCGTTTCTTCCCCATGTGTCTCCACTCTGTTATTCCTCTGTGTGGTCCCCGCAAACTGGAAATATCCTTCAAGACTCGTTCAGGCAGTGATGACAAAAACCACCAGTTTTCTCTACAGGCCTCTGTCCAAAGCCTGGTCTGAGAGGCAGAAACAAGCTCGTTATGTAATTGCATTAAAAACGTCATAAAAAATGTCTTGCTATACTATGTCACGAAAAACAAAACAAAAAGTCATAGTATCGTATGCCATAAAAATCTATTGTAAGTATTAGTACATAGTACATAAAAGTGTAGTATGTCATCAAAAAGTCACTAATTTATCATTGTATTATCATGAAAATGTCATTAGTAATGTCTTACTATATATACTATGTCTTGAAAAAAATTTGTATAGTATGCCATGCAAATTACATAAATAAATGTCATAGTATAGCGTGTCATAAAACACTGTCATGAAGAAATGTCATCGTAAATATGGCTTAAAAAAAGTAAAAAAATAATTATTACAGTATTGTCATGAAAAAGTCAAAAAATGTTTTACCATTATGTCACGGAAAAAAAAAATGCGATGAAAATTGTATGTACAAATTGTCATAGTAAAGTATGCCATAAAAACGTAAAAAATGTCATAGTGTTGTATGGTTTAAAAAAAGTCACAAAAAATGTCATTATCGTATGGCTTTTTTACAACAATTCTATGACGTACTACAGTATGACGTTTTTGTGACATTTTCATGACACACAATACTACGACTTTTTATGACTTACTATACTATGAAAGTTTTTTATGACTCATTATAACTATGACATTTTTACAACATTTTTTATGTCGGTACTGTGACGGTGTCCATCAGTGTGAAACAGTGTTTGTCAGGCAATGTTATGCCTCGAGACAATTTAGTATGAGCGCGATCTGTAAAGGTTACTGGTACCACTGCAAGTCTTCTGACATGCGCAGTTATTAAACAATGACCTCAAAAGAATTTAAGAGTCTTGGCTCTTAAATTCTGGTGGCGGGCCTACTGTAAAGCATGAAATATGTTGTACGGTCCATGTTGTGCTGTCCTGTTTCTACACAGGGGGGCGCTAGATGAGCAGAAATACTGTAGCTGCGCCATGATAAATTATACATCAGACCACCTACTGTTAACTGTCCTGGGTGAGTCCCAGCAGGGGACCTTACTATAAAGCTGTCCTATTTGGAAGTCAGGAATTTGCATCGTCTCTGCGACTAAGTTATTCATGTTTCAAGAAACCTCTCTTCATAAGCAGAGCTGACACGACAAAGATGGTGCGGGGAAACGTATCAAAATGTTGTAATCCACAGTGGTTTACCTGTGAGTCACATGTTAAACCAGCAGAGGTGATTGGGTCTGTATATGATTACATATGTGTGTTTTGTTTGCAGTGATGATGTCACAAGTCATAATGCATCATCACATACTCAGAGGAGCTTTATTCGATTACATAAGCATAAACAGTTGGATTATTACAGTTTAATCAGAGCTCTATAATGTTAATAGAGATGTCATTTTAAATATAGACTTATATATTAGATATGCCAAACGGGGAGTGAGCAAGTGATTGAGGTTGTGACTGAGCACTCAATTGACTTAGTCTTAAAGACCTGTCATCTCCGTGCCCTTTAGACCTGTTAGGACTGCAGTCCTGGTCCTCTCTGACACCCAGCGCTGATGAGTGACAGCTGCTGGGAGGGGGGGGGTTGGAAGCTGACACTGTGAGCGTGTGGACTGCAGGTCTGGGCAAAGATAGAAGTCTCGCCTACGTTTTTTCACAGTCCTTAACCCTCAACCAACCATCTGTTGTTTTAAACAAAGAGGTTTTTTTATCTTTAAATCTAAAAACTGCCATTCAACACAGTCTGACGGCAGTTTGTGAAATAGTCACAAAATGCAATATATTGGTTTGGTTTTACAGGGACACAAACTCATTTTTAATCGTGACGTTTGAAACACTTTTTTTACTTTATCAAATGAAAGTTAGGTTTAGGCAATAAAATCACTTAGTTAGGTTCAGGAAAAACATACTGGTTGGGATTGAAAAAACTACGTACAGTGGGGTTCAAATGTTAGATTTAGGCAACAAAACCACATCAAGGTGTTGAACATCGGTCTCGTTGTTGAAAGTCATCATCTGTCTTTATGTTCAAAACTACATCACTAACTCTGATTGTTGCATACGTGAATGCGTTTAATTCGTGTGTCCACCACGAAAAAGAATCATTAATTGATTTTCCATTTGCAGTCTTTTCGTCCTGAGCGACATGGGGGAAAAAAAACAACGTACAATTCGTGTCCATGCACACAAAACCAATAGATTGCATTTCCTGCCGTGACACTGGGCTGAACCATCTCATGCGTTACACCGAAAAATCTCTATATCTGCCGAGTCAATCGCTGCGTTTCTGCCCTCAACTCTGATGGGACTTGTCATTTTGCGACGGGCCTCCGATGTCATAAGAGACAGCAGTGGTGTCAACACGTTGCCCGTCACAAATGCCAGAGTCGGGCACAGTTGTTGGATTCTGTTCATGTCTTGATGGAGAATGTGTATGTGTGTGTGTGTGTGTGTGTGTGTGTGTCCAGTGTATGCATGCCCTTGCCTTGGCATTTGAGGTTGCTTCAAACCCTGAGGGCCAAAGTCAGTATGTCTTGACTTGTGCATAGTTCTACACACACACACACACACACACACACTGCATGCAACCCCTTCATGGGAGCCTGTCATAGCCTGATTGCTCCATACACAAGCATTAAAATGGATCACTCCTTTACGTCCTTCCAGCGTTACCCTTACGGTTTACGTTATTTTCCCTGTCATTGTTGTTGGAACCAGCTGTGTACTAAACAATAGGCAAGCTGCTGCACTGATCAATAGCAAACACATGCAATTAATCAATGTAATTACTTCCTTCTAGCTTCAAGACCTGCAAGGTCACATTGCCAACACTGTATACATTGCAATTAGCAGCATTCGACCAATGTGTGTGTGTGCGTGTGTGTGTGTGAGACTGAGAAACAGTGATGGAGTGCAAGAATTCTTGAAAGAATTCCTGATATGTCACTTAAAATGCAGGTAATATCATATATCGGATCTCAGGTAAAAGCTTTTATATACAATGCAGTGTGTGCATGTGTGTGTCTGTACCTTTCTGTAATGAAGTAGCGATAGAAGGATGTGTGTGTGTGTGTGTGTGTGTGTGTGTGTGTGTGTGTGTGTGTGT